ATATATGCATATATCATAATTTGATTAGTCTCATTCATTCCCCAATACCTTTCCTTCTATTCCTTCCCTTCCTCTCCCATCTACTTACTCTATTCTACTGATCTCTCTTCTATTATTATTATTTTTTGTTAGTGCATTATAATTGTACATGTCAGTGAGATTCATTTTGATTTATTCATGGAGGGACATAACTAATTTGGTAGATTTCATTACCCATGACTTCCCCATGCCCTTTTCTCCTCGCTTCCTCTCTATTCCTTTCTTCTACTCTATTGGTTCCTGTCTGTTTTCATGAGATTCTTTTTTTATTCCTTCCCCCCCCCTCTTGCTTCACATATGAGAGAGAACATTTTACCCCTGGACTGTGTGAATCTGGCTTCACATATTTTATTTAGCATGGTGTTCTTTAGTTCCATCCATTTAACTAACAAATGACATGATTTCAGTCTTCTTTATGGCTGAGTAAAAGTCGGTTGTATTCATTTATTCATCAGTTGAGCACTTGGGCTGATTCCACAACTTGAACTAAATCAGTATACTATAGTGATATGTGAATACCAATTATTATAGCAGTGCAATTTACAAAACACTTAGCATTTTAATTAGATTAAAATTAGAAATTGCATTCTTATTATATGCTCATTAATATCACAGCAATAAAAAATTTCTTCCAAGATTATAAATAGCAAAGTGGGGGAAAATATATACTATCTCTTATCTGTGCTGTAGCATTCATTAAATTTTTCCTGTATACACTTCAGGATAAGGTATACTTGGACATATAAGATGGAGGCAGGGTCAGTTATATCTAAGGCATGAAAAAAAAACTTGGATAAAGTTTGGTTTTTGACTAACAAACATAACATTTTTTTATTTTGTTGGGAGGTTATTATGAATGTGTCTGATATTTAAAATTATGAAACTTTCTAAATATTTTTAGGATGTGGCTTTCAGAAACTGTATTGCTTGTTGTTCCATCACCTGATTTAGTGGTTTTATTCTCTGGAGAAGGAATTATAATGCCACGTGATTTTTGAGACTGGTGGACATTGGACTCTGTTTCCATAGTCCTGGGTGGTTCCTGGAACTTTGGCTGAAGCTTTAGTCTTCTTTGTAATGTCCTATTATTTGGGATATTCAAGACCCAACAGAAAATTTCTCTAATATGTGAGCAAGCAGTGGAACAACTGATTGGAGTCCTGCAGGTTCAATTTCTTGCCAGAAGACTTAGAGCAGATGCTGCCTGAAGGAGACTCTGTAAGTCCTTTGTTTGTCTGAGTGGTTGGTAACGTTAAATTGAATACAGTGTTTCTAGGATTAGTGAACTGTTGGACAAAGTGGTGAAATCATCACTGCTGTCAACAAAAATTCACTAAGGGAGAATTCAAGATAAAAAGGAAGGCTCATAGCTTATTGGTTAGTCCAAGCAGCAAAAATAAACACCCATGTCAGAGAGAGGGAGGAGCAGAGATTTATTCAGGAAAGCAAGGAATCCATATTCAGGAAGAATGCGGCTATCAAGGGAGTGAGATGCACCTTTTGGGAGCTCAGGCTCTTAGAAAAAAATCTGGCTTGGGAAGTGACAGCCCTTGGAGAAAAACTGACCAGAGAGCGAAGGTATGAGGAAATTTATCACAAGGCTTTGAGTTTAAAGTAGTCTCCCTTTTCTTCCTTTGTCTCCTTTCTACCTATATTTTATTTATTCTATCTCAATATGATATTATTCAGAAATGCTACCTACTCACTAACCTATAAACTTAATGGAAAAGAAAAGAAAGGATGTACTTCACAAAGAAGAGAGAATGAATCCAAAGAAAATGAAGTGAAAAAAACTCTTATCAATAATATGCAAAACAAATTAATAAAACAGGAAATTAGTAGATATTGAACAGCTATCTGAAAATCTCAATTGTTATAAAAATAGGGACTGAGATCACCAGGTGAGGAAGATAAGGAAGGAGAATGTTCTTATTTATGTTCTTCAGGAACACAGTGGATTTTAACCTTAAACATTTATTTAAAAAAAAAATGAGATTTGGTTTTGTGTCAAAGAGAAGAATGCTCAGTAGAAAATAAATTGTGCATGCTGTCAATTGTGAGACTTGTTTCCTACTTAGGAAAAAAGTCATGTTTTGTTTCAATGAGTGCTTGTTGGTTCATTCACTGTTTTATATAAGAATATCTTCCCCAAAACCTGGAAATTGTGTTTATGGTGTAGAATGGGTGGATGAGATCATTCAAGCATGTGGTTTTCCTCAGTCTACTTTTTTTCTTTCATTTCTTAATTGGGGGTGGGTAACTACAGATTGAACCCAGGGATGCTTAACCACTGAGGTATATCCCCAGACATTTTTATTTTTATATTTTAGTTTTGAAGCAGAGTTGTTGAGGCCCAGCCTCCCAGAGCTGTTGGGATTACAGCCCTGCACCACCATGCCTGGCCCATAATCCACTTTCTATGGGGTCTGCTGTAGCCAAGGAGGCTCACCTGTGGTGGCAAGGTGACCCCTGAATGTATCCGTGGGGTGTATTTAATTCAAGCTTCTACGTCCTACCAGTGTATTTAAGAAGTTTTTACAATCACTGTTGCTGGTAAATTATAGAACAAACACTTTTTTTTGTGAGCAATTTAAATATTTAGTTAATTCTTATATTTTAAGTTTTCTTGTTTTAGTAATGCTTATAGGGTATAGATTTAGATTTGGATTTATAAAAGAAAAGTCACTATCCACACATGGTGTTGCTCAAAGGAACATTTCTATTGGGCCCTCTCAAGGTTCACTGGTACACTCTGATGGAGATTAAATTGGAGAAGAGCTATACAGATTTATTAAGGTGGAAAAAGGGAAAACCCAGCAGGGGTGGGGGTGGGGAGAGATCATAGGAGGATTGGATATGCACAGCCAGCAAGGGTATCTTGTGATGCAGAAGGGGTCTTTCAGGGAACAACCACCTGTGGCCAACTATCTGGGTTAGGTGTTAGAATCCCAATCTCTATTTGCTGTGTTTACAGCCCTCCTAGGCAGAAAAGAGGTGGGGGATATAAAATGGACCCCCACCCCAATGCACAGCTGCTATTTACTAATGTAGATAGATACTTTTCTTTTGGAAAAGAACCACCTTTCAGAGAACCATTCCTGTGTTCACAGAGCCTGAAGTTTCTCTGAATTATCCAATTTAAAATATGCCAAAGAAATGTGTCTGGGGTAGGATATTTTACTCTCCTACAGGGTCACTAAATAAAGTTTCTCTAAATTTTTCTCAACTGCGAATGTTCAAATTATCAGATTGTGTGTGTGTGTGTGTGTGTTTTCTAAGACAGTGAAAAAAATTCTCCTGCAGCCTAAGTGTTATCCTGAAAACCCAACACGTTATTATATTTATGGATCCAATGTGACAGTACACTTGTTGAATTTTTGTAAGTTTTTAAAGTCTGTGGTATTTTCAGAAGAAACATTTCTTTAAGTAGAAATGACCATATGAATTTTTTCATATTATTTCTAGGGTTTAAAAAATTGTGCAGCAATTTTCAATTATTCCACAACAATATAACCCCACACCCACCTGGAAAATTTAGACCCTCTGGTTCTTATTATGATTTTTTTTCTTTTTGTTACCAGAGATTAAATCCATAAGAATGAGTGTGTCTTAAGTTTTAAAATCAGAAGCTGAAATATTATTTTATTATTTCAGTCTAAGGTTGTTATTATGGCATGACAAACAACAGGCTATTGATTAAAGTGGCTTTTCAATATGGTTTAAATGTTTTATAAATATGAATTTGTTGCATCAGACAGCCTAGGAGGATAGCCCTAGCAATCTGACCTGAATAAGTGTCAATTGTGTACATTTGTGATGTGTTTAGTTTTTCTGTAAAACATATCACAACTAAACATTTTTCTTTTGTGGTGCTAGAGATGGAATCCATCTATCACCTTGCTCAGGCTGGATAAGCACTCTACCACTGACCTATGCCCCCAGCCAAATTCTAGAGCTTCTTTTAGAAACACAACCTTGATTATGTTCATACCTATGAACAAATAAGTGCACTCAAAAGTTGAGATAATTTTGCAGAATCATTCTCATGTATATGAGTGGCTATTATACAGAGAAATAAATTTGCTTTGGCCTAACTACAGTATTTCCTTTTCTCTTATGTTCATTCTTATAAGCTTACTATTTGTACGCAGCTTTCTTTTTTCCTAAGTTATAGTTCTTTACAATTGCTTTATCATCTCACCTGTTAAAAAAATTTCTTTGAATACTTTTCATAGCTTTGAAGCATTTCAAGATTTATCTATTTCTTATGGACATATTATTTATCAGATTATTTATAAGAATAATATTCAGTTAAGGAAACTGCATATTTTATAATGATGTCATAGAATAAAAATGACATCTGATCCTACCAACTTTCACTCCAGGCATCATAGTATAAAAGAAAGAACAGTTCATATTGAAAACATCAAGGAGTGAAGATTTCTGAGGGTACCCGGTCCTGGAAGTTGAGGACTTGTCTTCAGACATACGTGTGTTGCCCTGCAGCCCCTTGGGTCGAATTACACTCACCTGTCCTTTGTAACCTGCCCCTCTGACCTTTTTTTGGATGGAACTTTCTAAGAATGAAGGTCCCCCCAATAAAAGCCCACTTCCGAACGTGCTCCCTCTCTCTGGCCAGCCTCTCCTGACTTTCCCTTGCTCTCCCATTTGGGGAGCTTGAGGCTGAAAGCCATGGAGCCTTCCTGAAGCTTGTTTAAAGGTAAAGTGTATGTCTGTGTTTTATTTGGTGTCCCTGGAAATTCACACGAGTGACCTGAAGTTCAGCTGCCCGCATGGGTCGGGGCAGCAGGGCACCTTGTTTTGATCACATGATTTCACAGGTGGCCTCAGGAATCAATTGGAATAGCTAATTCTAAGGCCTTCCAGTTAGGGTTATAAAGAAAATCATCATTTTTTAAAAAGTATCAAATTGTTTTTCCCAAGGAAAGATTATACTATAAAAGTTGTTTCTTTTTAAAAATATTACTGTTATTATTATTATTGGTACCATGGATTGAACCCAGGGGCACTTAACACTGAACCACATCCCCAGCCCTTTTTAA